AACTTAGGTGAAACAATAATGATTAAGGTAATATCTGTGTAGGTAATACATGTATATGAGACTAATGTCGTCTTCTGTACATTTAAAATACTAGCTAATTTGTGGAATGCCGGCAATCTCAGAACTTTTTGAATGAGAATGATACTATGTCTACAACATCTATATTTTTGATAGTTGTCAAATTTAATTTGAGCAATTGACGGGCTTATTCTGAATTGTTATACTTTGTATTGTACTAACGCTAGTCGACTGTTGGCAGTTTCCATTGCATATATTGAATCAGGTGGGCGACCCGTGTGACCGTTTGCGGGTGGTAGTGAACGTGAGGGAAGCTGACGCACACACTTGAATCTGTAATATTTTAAAAACCCATGTAGTATAATAAACAGCACAAGGTACATATGTGTACATGTACCCAACCATTAGCACATTCCATTTTAAGGGGTGATTAGACCCCCTCCCCCACCCCCACCCCACCCCCCTCCTTGGCGAGAGAGTTTTGACACTGTATAAAAAAATAAAGACAAATATGCGAATTTTTGACAGAATCAAGTGCCTGTATTTTCGAAATGCTACTTCTCCAACAGTTTTGGTCTGATTTCAATATAACTTGGCACACAAGTAGACTACACTAAGATATCGATTTTTGATTTCGATGATTAGTGTTGCCGTAGTTACTAAAAATAGAAATTTCTGTGAAATATTTTCAAAATGCTACTTCTCCAACAGTTTAAGTCTGATTTTAATATAACTGTGTATACACGTAGACTACACTAAAATACATAATTCTCTGCATCGGTTTTTAATTTCAATACACAGTGTTGCCATGGTTACTAAAAATAGAAATATATGTGAAATACCGTTAAAGTGCTACAGTTTTGGTCTGATTTCAATGTAACTTGGCACAAAAGTAGACTACACTAAGATATATAATTCTGTATATCAGTTTATGATTTCGGTCAACGATGTTGCCTTGGTTACTAAAATAGAAAATTCTTTGAAATACTTCCAAAATGCTAATACAAATACAGCATTAGTCTGATTACCGATATTATAATGTGGCATGCAAGTAGACTACACTGAGATACATGATTATCAGTTTCGTGTTTTTGATTTGATGAGCGATGTTGCTATGGTAACTAAAATTGAAAATTCTGTAACTTTTTTAAAAAGCTACTCCTACAGTTGTAGATTGTAATCTTGCCACAAAAAGAGACTTCATCAAGGATCATTATTCTATTTGTTGCTTTTATAAAGTTTCCTGCTACCTTTCTCTTCCTTTATTATAAGTACAAACCAGTAGAGCTACAGTCTCGACAGAGATTCTGGTTATCTCTAGATCTAGTACTATGCTTGCATGCAGGGCTCTGTGATGTTTTAAATGATTATATTCGACATGCGAATGAAAATACTAAAATATCAAAATATTGTTAATTGATAGAATATCGTCAATGTACGAAATTGAAGGTTACATCAAAATACAACAGCCAGTGAAAAATATTTTGTTGAAGTCACAAATGCTGTTCCATATATTTGCGCGAGTTATCTTTCCACACTAGAGCTCTCTAAATTCCAAAAAACAATTTTAGTGTAGGTATATGAAGGAAATTCGAAAGGAAAACTGTAAACACGTGTGGGAAGTTAAAACACGATGGAAAAGGAAAAGAACGAAATCAATTATAAGCGAAGTGAAGAACAGGTAAAATTTTACACATCTTTCTCCTTTTTAGAATAATATTGTCTTGGTTTCTCAGTTAACCTCATTAAAATTAAAAGGCCCTTAGAGCAACCACAGGGGCATCTTATCCACTCTGTTCTCTACTTCACATATAAAAATACACAAGGGAAGAATCGAAAGTAGCACACGATTTTTAAAAAAAGTCAAAAAACAACTTACTTGAGAAAAGTTACACAAATCCTGAAAGGAACTAGCGCAAATAATGTCCTAGTACTTATCCAGGCTAAAATATTCCAGATATATCCATCGTAAATAGCTTTTATCCAACTAAAACCCCAGCTTTCTGCACAGTGTGAATCTCTACGCCCAAGAAAAGATAACTCACCCGGATGACAATAGGGTAGTACCCGAGGCCTTCCGAGTGCCATTGGAAGACTTCGGGCACTACCCTATTGTCATCCGGGTGAGTTATCTTTTCTTGGGCGTAGAGATTCACACTGTGCAGAAAGCTGGGGTTTTAGTTGGATAAAAGCTATTTACGATGGATATATCTGGAATATTTTAGCCTGGATAAGTACTAGGACATTATTTGCGCTAGTTCCTTTCAGGATTTGTGTAACTTTTCTCAAGTAAGTTGTTTTTTGACTTTTTTTAAAAATCGTGTGCTACTTTCGATTCTTCCCTTGTGTATTTTTATATGTGAAGTAGAGAACAGAGTGGATAAGATGCCCCTGTGGAGCAACTTTCAGAATGTTCAGTGCGTTCTAATGTTTTTTTTTCTTGCTTTTCGCTTGTATGAATCGGAAATTACTGGTTGTAAATCCTGTCAAACTATTTTTGTTACAACTGTAGCGAAAAGATTGGAAGAAAATACGCGAGGAGAGAAGGGCACAGAAAAGAAAATGGAAAGAAGAAAAGCTACTGAAGAAGATGGAAAAAGAAGCAAAGAAACAAAAAGCAGAGGAGCAGAAAAATGAAGAAAATTCCACAGAGAAGAAAGGGGGACGACCCTACACTGTGTCTATAGCTCTACCAGGATCTATTCTGGACAATGCGCAGTCACCAGAGCTAAGGACCTACTTAGCAGGACAGGTAGGCTGAGATGATACAGTTTATCTAATGCCCTGTTAACATGGAGTGTTTAATTGGCAATAAATTAATGTGAAGTAAACTAATGCGAATCAAACGAATGCGAATCAAACTAATGCGAATCAAATATTGCTTTCACACGACAGCTAATTGCGAATTAAAATTTTAGCACGGCTATTTTGACGTCATTTGCAAATCACGTCACCTTATGCAGAAGCAGATCCATTTGACATAATGGTAAAGTGTCTGTATACACATTTTAATGATTAACAAAATTTTCCTTAGTTTTTCACTTAAAAATACCACAAGTACTGTACCTATAGCTGACCACTGACAAGTAGCATTTGACTAAATTTTGCCATTACGCATGCATCAGAATTTAATTCGAATTAGCTTCGCTTAGCGTTTACATGGAGCTAATGCGAAGTAATTTAATGCACAGTAAACTAATTCGAATTAAACTAATTAGCATTAAATTCTCCATGTGAACGCTACACTAAGCGAAGCTAATTCGCAATAACTTTACGTTTAATTTGAATTAAACTCTCCATGTGAACAGGGCATTAACAAAGCCAGAAGTTGTGCGAATCTCAAGTAAAATCGTTGGGGGTATTTATGGAAGGGAAATACTTTGTGTTTTGCTAGAGATGTACAATGCCTTATATGCCTGCATCTCAAGTGACAAGAATTTCACATGAATTTCATGTGAAAAAATAATACCAAACTTGCTTTTACAGTTTCTGTATTTTTCTACAACATTTGTGCTCTGCAATGATTATTCCCATACAGACAGTAAGAAAGCTTTTAAGAAAATATTTGCAGAAGTGATATTACAGTAATTCTTACTTACAGATTGCCAGAGCAGCTGTGATCTTCAACATTGATGAAATCATCATTTTTGATGAGATATTCTCTAAAGAGTCCTCCATAGAGGGAGAATTCCAAGGAGTGGGCAAGAAAGGTCATGCTAACGTCCAGATGGCCCGGATCCTGCAGTATCTGGAGTGTCCTCAGTACCTCAGGAAATCCTTCTTCCCGCACCACAAGGATCTCCAGTATGCAGGGATCTTGAACCCTCTAGACAGTCCCCACCACATGAGGGCCGAGGATGAAGTGTTGTATAGAGAGGGGGTGGTCCAGAATAAACCAGTCAAGGCGGGGAAAGGATCACTGGTCAACTGTGGGTTATATAAGGTAAGGGGAGAGGGCCTGTAATACTGCAAAAATTGCAACAATGTTTGTTGGGGGGGGGGGGTGCAATTTTTAATATAGTTTCTCAAAATTTATCACCTTGCAAAAAGTTTTCTGTTAGGAACTCTCCTAAACAACAAACCTGTATATTTTGTAAATTCTTTAACTTCTGCAAAAAAATTAATCCTCACACAAATGCTTTGATAAAAAAATGTCCAATTTTACATATAGGACATTAGTAAGAGTTATATAAGGTAACTAAAAATGATAGACCACAAAGGTATAAATTTTGAAATTGTAAGTTAGTGAAGTTATAAACAAAACAGACTGATACACTATATTTATTTCAGCAAGATGTACAGATAGACAAACTTCTACAGCCAGGAATTCGAGTCACAGTGAGGATTAACCAGTACGATTCCTCACGGAGGATACTGAAGGGCCAGGTGGTCTCCCCCTCCACCCCGAGGGAAGACTCCGGTCTATACTGGGGTTACTCCGTCAGACTAGCCAAAAGTATTGGAGCAGTGTTTACAGAGTGTCCGTACAAGGACGGCTACGACTTGACTATAGGGACCTCTGAGAGAGGGGAGTGTGTGGACGATGTGAAAATTGACACAAGTTTTGGTCATGCTCTGATTGTGTTTGGGGGAGTACAGGGACTCGAGGCCAGTCTGGAGTCAGACGAAGCCTTGGACATTGACGATCCCAGTCTGTTGTTTCAGTACTATATGAATACCTGCCCTAACCAGGGAAGTCGGACTATTCGTACAGAAGAAGCCATTCTCATCAGCCTCGCCTCTATCAGACCTAAATTAACAGGGCTGGGGAAAACTTGATGTTTTATTGTATATGCAAGTGTAAAATTGTACAGGTAGAAAATAAATGTGATAAATGTTGTTATTATACCTCATTATAAATATTCTACACAACGGGTTATCTGATTGGTTCTAGGTTATCACGTGATCGGGCCGTAAAACTTCATATTTCCCGTCGTCGGCACGCTTTTCATCATATTCCACCTCTTCGGAACACCTAGTGAATTTTCCCGCAATATAGTTCTTGTTCGTTGAACGAAAACTGCTGAGAGTAGTAGACGTCACAATAGCCTGGTTTACGTCACAAAACTAATGACAATGTGTTGACCAAAGGGTTTTATAGTAACTTTACGTTAACAATGGTGTAAATTAGAGAGCGGTGCCGAATTTGAAAGTTTATGTTTATTTAAAAGGTTTTGCTTGTTTCGGTATAATAAACAATTCATTGCATGATAGTGAGGGAAATATGAAGACTTATTCAGCCAAGAAATATCATATTCCCCTCGGGCGAAGCCCTCGGGGAATATGATTTTTCTTGGCTGAATAAGTCTTCATATTTCCCTCACTATCATGCAATAAATGTATAATATCTTTTATATTTAATAAACAGTAATAATATCTACTTGAACAAGCTAATTCAGAGAATCTGTGTCTCCTATTTGTAGAAATAAATAGGTGTTTTATTCAGGCCATAGGGGGTTGTGGTATATAATGTCATTGCAAAAGTTCAAAGGCTTCTTGATATATTGCCTAGAATCAAAAGTATTAAAATCGACAGAATTTTTATGCCCCGCCATGAATATGGCCAGGGCATATAGTGTTTGTCATGTCCGTCTTCCGTCCTTCTATCACACTTTGCGTTTAGCTCTGTTCAAAGCTAAGTTTCAAGAAACTATCCAAGATATTTTCATCAAACATCATATGCTGATAGATATTGATGAGGGCTATGCAACTGTATCAACATTTTTTAACCTTGAACTCACTTTTCTTAAATTAGTGTTTAGCTCAGTTTTAATCATACCATTAAAGATGGCGTTATCAAACTTCACATGTTGATACAAACTTGCATGGATGATGCATCTAGGAAAGAACACTACCAGACTTGCTTCGGATGCTGGATCTGACCTACATTTTCCAGATGAGTGACCAGGTTTAAGTTTTTGGAGCAGGTCCATTCCTAAGGAAGTATAAGCCCTACTTGGACCAAACTTGCATGGATGATGCATCTAAGGATGGACACTATCAGACTTGCTTCGGATGCTGGATCTGACCTACATTTTCCAGATGAGTGACAAGGTTAAAGTTTTTGGAGCAGGTCCATTTTCAAGGAACTTGTCAACAATTAAATCTTGATGATGTAAGTTTACAAGTTGATATGGCCACCCATAAGCCCTACCCAAACCAAACTTGCATGGATGATGCATCTAGGGATGAACACTACCAGACTTGCTTCGGATGCTGGATCTGACCTATATTTTCATTCCCAAGTAACAATAAGCTCTACCTGAACCAAACTTGCATGGATGATGCATCTAGGGATGGACACTACCAGACTTGCTTCGGATGCTGGATCTGACCTATATTTTCATTCCCGAGTAACTATAAGCCTTGCCTGAACCAAACTTGCATGGATGATGCATCTAGGGATGGACACTACCAGACTTGCTTCGGATGCAGGATCTGACCTACATTTTTATTCCCAAGTAACTATAAGCCCTACCTGAACCAAACTGATCAAACTTTATACACATACAAATTTTCATATTACTTTACTAATATATCCTTGGCGGGGCATTCATGTCCTATGGACATATTTCTAGTTTATTTATCACCTTGACCTTTTGACCTCATGAGCAATATGTGTCTTCCCTACATCAAAGGGAGTTCCTATGCTCAAAGGCATCTTGAGATATGTGGAAACGAAAGTGTTACAGACAGACAACTGTACAGAGAGACAGACACAGAGGAAACTTATAGTCCCTCCCAGTTTCACCGGTAGGGGACTTAAACATGTCTTTGATGCACCAGGAGACAGAAGGTTACTTTGTGAATGCAGTGTAACCATTACTCTTCCATACTAGAGTTTTACTGTGAGATACTTTTGACTCGGTCCCTTATTTGACACCCCACAAGGATATGACCCGATTTTGCTGAGGTCACAAAGCCAAGGGTCAAACCAGAAATTGGATAGTGAATTCTCAATATTCTAAGAACCATGTGCTTCAATTGTCTGCTTAGGATCCCTTTCCTTGACAGATATTTAACTTGTTACAATGGTTTCCCTTAAGTAGCAGATGACCTTTGATTTGATGTCACAAAACCATGGGTCATACTGGAGACAGGAAGACAGTGACTTCTCAATATTTTAAAGAATCATTTGCTTTTCAGAAGACATCAAATCTGGTATACTGGTTCTCTATAAACAGTAACTTACATGGTCACAGTCACACTGTTTAGGTTCACAGAAACCTTTGCCTGACCAATATCAAACTTTCATTGGTACATTTTTTCCTCCCAAAGAGAGGATGGCCTCTAACGATTTAGGAGCCACAATGTATAACTGAAAAGATGAAAATATTGACTTGAAAATCCTTTGCCTGGCAGACATATAAAGCTTGGTTCATTTCTTTCACCTAAGAAGTAGATGACATGTGTTGATTTTGAGGTCACAAGGTCAAATTTTACAGGTCAAATTGGACATAGGATCTTAAGAATCCTGAAAGTATATATACATATAAAATACATGGTTACTGTCTTGAAATATACGCGATATTTGGGCGAGGGTAAGAAAACGTGATAGAGGGTGAGTACATTGCAATATACAAGACGTCACAATGCTTTTAGCACGAGGCTTTATTAGGGCAGTGACCGGATAAAGCTTTGGTTTATTAGATTACCTTTATTAGGTCAATGCAAGAGGTAGTTGCAGGATAAATGTAATTATACTCCTCATGATGAGCATTATTGAAGATCAATTTCAATAAATGTGTGGATCTGACTGGTACATAATTTTCACAATAATATACAGACATTTTGAATATAAATTTGATCCTTTTCACTGAAGGGGGGTCTATGTTTTTAAAATTCACATTTATTTACATAAGACATCAAGTCATTTTTAAGTCAATATTTATTGTACTTTGTTATCAAAAAGTTTGTAAATGTATAACAAAATAACAACTATCTCAACACATAAATAACAGAAAAAAATGTACACAATCCACTAGCAGTCCACCATACAAGCAGCAGTCATCCTTAACTAGGATTCAGGCAATAAACTCAGGCAGTGAGATCAAATATTTATGTGAATGAGTTGTGTCCCATTGGAAAAAAATACAAAATATAAACCTGTTGCCATCAAGTTTTAGTAAAGTTTTAATCTACATGAAAAAGATGTTTGTTATGTATTCTTTGTAGAAAATATATTTTTTTCAATTCTTGATTCATAGAATTCATTTCCTTGTTTTATCTAAGTTAAAGAAGCCACAAAATTAATTTAGATTTAAATAACTTTCATAGAGAAAAAAGCAGATTCAAAATATGTGTCATGTATAGAAAAATATATATACAAATTTAAAAAAAAAAATTTTGTGTAAAAAAGATAATCTAAAACAAAAACAAACTTTAGTTTGTGCAATTGGTGTTAGCTGTGGAGAATTTTGGTATTTCAAGGGAAATTGCTAAATATGATTATACCGTGTAGGTAGAAATTTTAGCGAGACGCAAATTTAGCGATTTGTCCTTAAAAACTGGTATTTCATTTTTAGCAAGATGTATTTTTAGCGATTTTAAAATGACCACCAAAGAAGCTATAACAAATAAAACACAATTTATTTTTAGCGATATTTAATTTTAGTGTTCTCGACACCCTCGCTAAAAATTCTGCTTAAACAGTATTACCATGGTTATAGTTAAAATGCCAAAATTCTCAACAATATTTTTTGAGCCACACATACACTAGTATGTCTCTAAAATGTAGGATGCAAGTTACAAATATGCAATGTTTCTTTGATATCTGAAAACTTAACTTCAACTCAACTGTAAACATTTCATTAAGAACTCTCAAGACAGAAGATAGCCCGAATTAACTGTGACAGTAAATCCTACTATTTTTAAAAATACATTTGTATTAAATAATTTAAAGATTTTCTTGGTTTGAAGAGGAAATACAGAAATACTGGCTGCTTACATGTAGTGTTGAGTTAAATCAGAAATCATTTTTGATTTGACAAATTAAAAAAAAATGAATTTTTCACCAACATTTTTGCTAGCAAGGATAAAGCACTTTTTAATGAACTTGCATAGAAGTTCTCTTATAAAACATGATACAATGAAATGAAGGTGATATTTGGCACATTTTTATTGCATCTGTTGTAGCAATATCTCCTGCTTGAAAAAATCCATAAACATGATATTTTTGATGGAAGACTAGATAAACAGAGAAAACTTGAGAATTAAGTATTAAATGTTAATTTATATAAATGACATCCGACTCCTCAGCAACACTGTTTTCCTCCGGGGAAATATAACGAGCCCGTTTTTTAGTCCTGTATGATGATGATGCCCCATCACCGTACTCAAAGTCACTGTCCTCCTCGTAACGGACGGTCTGTTTACCCTGCTTGCAAATTTGCCAAAACCACGAAGCACTGACCTTGATTGAACCTGTAGAAGCTCGAGTGGTGTAATGGTTGCTTGCATTTCCATTTGTCAAAGGCCTTTTTCCTATTCAAAATGCAGAGATTTATCAGTACCTTCTCAGGGGCTGAAATTCGGCCCCATTCCAAATTGAAAATGAGTTCAATTTTCCCAATTTGGCAGTATTTTTTCCGAATTGCAGAACAATGCTTTGTTATTAAATTATCTTGTATTAAACACATAGTAAATTTGTCAGATTATCTGTAATTTTCCTCAATTTAACTCATTTAGCAAAGCTACAGTCGTGACATGTTTAAAAATATAGCCAATTTTAATCCAAAGAGCCATAGCGCATTTGATAGTCCCTTTCGCCTACTCATTGACA